TTATGATAGCAGGATGCTCCTATTACCCCCGTGTAATAGGGAAGCAAACTGAGGTGCAAAGAGGTTAAACTGGCCCAGAGTCACTCAGCCAGCAAGTGGTAGAGTTGCCACTGGGGCCTGCCCTGTCCTTCCCCCACGCCTGTGAATGTGTCCACCCCTCTGTGAGCGGCCTCGTGACTCCAGCATCGGGGTGCACCCACAGAGGGCACCTCAATGAAGCAGAAATCTTGGTAACACTGGTTGCTCTGACCTATTTCCACAAACCTGTTTCGGACGCCACAGATGCCTGAGAAGGAAGTTCTCTGTTTTTCCTTGGATGTCAAAAAGGATTGCTGTTTTATAGTAGCACACACATCTCAGTCTGGGTTAGCCTAGGATTAGTCCGTTTTCTAGATCATATAAGGTCATGTCCGATGGAAAATGCCATAGACAGTTTTGTTGCATTGATGTCTTGGGGGGAGTAGCAGAAAGCATGAGCCGTCCAGTGGATTTCAGTGTTTATCTGAACGCTAACAGTCAGTGGGTAAATCCTGTCCCTCTTTGGGGACCTTTCCTTCCCTCCGCTGCCTCAAACAGCCTGCTTTTGCCCTGAGATCTCTTTATTTGTGAGCAGTTTTAGAGGTAGATTTATAATTCTTGGAAGCGAGTAAAAGCTGCTTTAGACACCCAGGGAAAAGGGGGAAAGAAATATGGCCTTGGACAGTCACTTCTGCAAGGGATAGAAAATGCAGAGCTTGCGTTTGGATGGATAGCTGTTTGCGTGAACTTGGAGATTGTCTTTCAACTTTCCAGAAGCTGCTGACAGCCCCGGTCAGGCTGAGCTCTGTCCCCACCCACAGCAGCTGGGCAGCCTCATGGGGGCCACGCCTCTCAACTCAGCCCTTTGCCATAATCACGTAAGAAAATCCTGCACCAGGGGCGGGAGTGGTGATACGTTAGGCCTTCCCCACGGACTCGATCAATAAACATTTACAGACTGCCCACCGGGTGCTCGAGACCGTAAATTCAGACTCGTGCACAATTTACACGCGAGGATTGAATCAGACGGGTGTAGGGTGTAGACCAGAATCCCCAACAGAGATTAAAGGGACGTGAGTCATCCTTGTTACGCAGAGACGAGGCCTTCAGGTTCTCTGGATAAGAAAGGGCCTTTGTAAAAGAAAGGGGGAGAGGGGGGACTGTTAGGGCCTGGAGGGGATGGGCTCCCGAATGAAGGTCCCTGCAGAGTTCAGCAGGTCGCACAGGGCTGTCCGGATGCCCTCGAGGGCTCGCAGGGATGTTCACGTGGTGAATGAATGACAAAGGCTTGCCCAGCATCCCACGGGTCAGGTGACCCCCAGTCACACCCACTGCCACACGCCGGCCCCCCGGGTCCCCGGCCCAGCCCGTACATGCGACGTGCGTGCGGTGCCATCTTTCAGGCTGACCTCTGGCATTTGTCTCGGAAGTAAAGCCCCGAAGCTTCATTCCGCAGTGACTCACTCCCCCTGCTCCCAAACCCGTCCCTCTTGTCCTGGCTGCCCAGCATTCCCGGGCCCCGCCTCAGCCGGGGAGCCCAGCCCGACGTCTGCGCCCACCCCTCCTCCTCCCCTTCTCTCCTGTCCCTTGTCTTCCTGGGGCTCCCCGGCTTTGAATTCCTCCAGTATTTATAGGTGGTGCTTCAGGACCTCACAGTTAGTTACGTGTGGATTGGCGCTGTTTTCTAATCATTTTGTGGACGCCCTGTCTTAGCCCCAACAGAGCTTAGGACAAAGCTGATACCTTTGGTACCTACGGGGAGTGGGGTGAACGTCCGAAAGGGAGTGTAGTTTTGCAAGGCATCCCCCCTCGGCAGGAGAATGGGGTACATGTCAGGAGGAGGGTCCGGACTGCACGCTTCCAGGACCCTTTTTAGCACAGACACAAGGACACACCTTGAAACTGTGAGTGGAACTTGACAGTGGACGCTTATTACTCAGTGATTTATTAAGTCTGTCACGGCTCCGTGTTACAGGAACCAAGAGGGTGGCCTGGGATTCATTTTAAACGTGTTGGAGGAGGCCGGGCGGCCAGTCCGCTGGTTCTCTCGCTGTTCACGAGGCCCCCGAGTCTGAGAAAGAGCCTCTTTGGCGGTCATTTCTATCCATTGGATCGGGGAGTTCACCAAGGCGGCATGGAGAGGTTTATTACTGGTGATGGTGCGGCTGATATTTGGGGGCACTTAGCTGAATCTCAGGGGCAAAGCAGCCAAGCCAGTAAATATCTGTGCACAGAACACGGTTCGTATTGTGTTACCCCGTAGCTTGGGAGCGTCTGCGTCGGTTGCTGACTATGGTCTCCTGGGGGGAGCTTGCTGGGTAACCAGGGCCCCCAGAGGAAGTCTGTCCCCGGCCTCTCCTTGGCTACCGGGGGTTCCTGGGCTTAGGGGCGCATCGCTCCAATCGCTGCTTTTATCTTTCCTCCGAGTGCCTGTCTCTGTCTCTTCATATAAGGACCCCACTCGTGGGCTGGGGCCCCTCTGATCAGCGTGACCCCGTCTGAACTCGCTTCCATCTCCAACGCGCCTCTTTCCAAATGAGGCCCCGCTCACAGGTCCTACGTGGATGTGGATTCTAGGGGGGCGTTTTTCACCCCGCTACCCGGGGCAGTGAGTTTTCGGTGTTTGAGGTCTCCACTCAGGTTTTCCTCTCTTCACAGTAGGTTTCGGGTTGTCAGGGGTCGTTAGTTAATATTCCAGGGCTGCGGTCGCCCTGCGCCCTTGCGGGTAGAGTGAGTGTGGTGGGGTGATCGGCGCAAAGGACACCGCTGAGGGTGCCTGAGTGTCTAACTCACCCGAGGGACGAACAAAGGCCCCGAGGGCTGTCGATCTTGTGGACTGTGGTGTTCGCTGGTCCCCGCAGTCGGCTGGGAAAGGCTGTCTTCTGTGACCCGGCTCAGAGAGAGCGCATCCTGCTCCCCAGCCAACGGCTGCAATTCTACACCGAGAATCTCGGAAATTTTGAGCTGAAAGAGACCTTTGGTATCATGTACTTCTAACGTAACCCTCTCATTTTACAGATGAGGTCTTAAGGGCCCAGAAAGGTTAAGTGACTTGTTCAAGGTCGCTGGCTATGGGAGGGGACAGAGCAGGCACTGAGACCCAGGCCTCAGAACCCCCAGAGGAGAGCCTGTCCCAGCACAGGGGCCCTGTCTGTCCCTGCATCTGTGCCTCTGTTGCAAAACAGCGCTCTTGGCCCCAAGAGCGAAGCCCAGGCCCTCGCACTGGTGGACAAGCCCGTCCAGCAGGTCAGAGACCCAGGGCAGCACTGAATGTCCCTTTGCTGTTGGGTGTTTGGCAGCACTTAGGGTTTCTTTGTTAATGTGGAGACTACAGATGGAATTTTAACTGTGATTTATAGCATCTAAATTCCACTCATAAAACGACTGGGGTGGGAGCAGGGGAGGTGCGGGGCCCACGGTCGGAGGATCCGGTAGGTACACAAGGGTGGGGCGCGGAGAGGCCCACTTTCCGCCTTCCACATGCCCAGCCCTCCAGTCATTCGGGGTGACTTCCCTGTCTCGGCTGTCCCGTGTTCATTTAAGTGACTTCACCTGCCCGGAGAGGGGACAGGGGCACACAAAATAGTGCAACGAAAGCAAAGTTTGTTATGTCTCGAACAGATTCAGAATATGAACATGTAGCGGCAGGTGGAACTTGGCAAGGAAGAGCAGGATGGAATAAAATGCAGCGAGCTAAGTTAAAATGAACTTCAAGAGTTTTGTGCTAAAATTGCCAGTTAATTATTGACTTAATACCTATATACACATTTACACACGCACACATATTCATTCCCACACTTACACTTCTAAATCCTAAGGCCCAGCTTTAGATCCATCTGCTCCATAAGCCCTCCCGCGCCTAATTATTTCCTGGACTGATTTTTCGTGTCCCCAAGTTTCTAAAGCAGATCTGGCCTTAACAGCAACTTTTCTCCCCAGTTAAAATGAGAATTCTGCTTAACTGCAGTCCCATACGATGCTTAGCATATTGCTAGGCACACAGTCGGTCATCAAGTGCCCTGAGCCCACTGAGGTTCCAGGGCAGTGGCCCTAGCGACATGTGGTAGAACTGCCCTGTTGCTCCGGCCTTCGGGTCCAAGCCCTGACTCAGGGCTGCCTATTTGGACCATAATAATTACCAGCCTCTCCTAGGATTGCCTTCGCTGACTTGGGTTCCATTTTAAACCCTTGTCACTCTTCAAGGGTTACGTCAATTAATTCTCTATTGCATTTGCTATTTAAAAAGGTTGTAGGAGGACTCTGCCTATCACATCACTCAAGGTCCCCTTATATAAAGTCCCACAGACTTTTAAAAAATTTTTTTTCTTTTATAATCCCTGCTGCTTTGGAAGCCATGGAGATTCAGCACCGTGGGCCCGGCCCTGGCTCCCCATCTCACGGGAGCAGTTAGCTCCTGGTGCCCGTCTGCAGCCAGCCGGACCCAGACCCTGCAGGCCCTGCAGCCCCCCCCATCATTACTCCAGCCCCCTTCTGTTTCTGGCACCTTGTTTTTGAGCCCGCCTGTGCCTTTTTACTTTTCCCGGCTCATATTTTTTCCATCATTGCTGCATGTCTGCAAGAGAAACAGTGAGGCAACAGACTGCTGTCTTTTTATTATTATTATTTTATTTTTTCCATCACCATTTATCTATCCCCTCTGTGCCTTCTCCCCCCTCACCGTCTTGACCTAAAGCCTGGTTAAGCTATGTCCTCGGTTACACGGGGACTATATCTCCCCTGCGATTCTGGAGATTATGTCACGAGATAAAGGGTAAAAGCAGGCGAGTTTCTTTAGCCAGAGTTCTGAGGGCGCCAGGTAACTCGCCCTGGAAACCAGAGAGGGCCCGTCCTTCTGCGGGGCGACAAAGCCTTCCCCCAGCAGGCGTGTGGCGCACGTGTCAATTACAGAAACTGCCTTTTTCCCCCAAGACCTGAGGTGCAGGGAAACCTGAACGTGCTTGTATTTCAATTAAATTGCTTCTTTCTTGTCACCGATCTCTTCAGCTTTTAGGTAAATCCGAGGAAGAGACCCGACCTGCCCGGCCCAGCTGTACAGCAGTGAATATTCCCAGTAGCAAGGAACAAAGGACATAGGTACGTATTGTCCAGGCTCTTGTTTTACTTCTCCTACCTCCCTCACATTAGT